AGAAAAATCTGCGTTTTCAAAAATACCCGGGTACGTGTGGACATAGCCTAATGTGCCCGCGTGCACACGCTTTGTCGTAGATTAACCTCCAGCGGCTGCACGACCTCCCTCTGCCCCTCAGTCCTTCTGGTCTTTGGTGAATTATTTACCATCTCTCATCAGTGGTGTAAATTTATTCAGCATGTAGATTTGGGCCAGAGAAACACACCATAACAAACCACCGAGTGCTGACACACGTTTTATGAAGCTTACCGATTTCTTTGTGGAGCCTTTGACAGGTTTATCAGTAACATTTAAAAGTAGAACACCCTCCTCTGAGCCTCTGCGTGCATTAAAAGCAGCTTTTTCCACGATGCCATGTCATCTGTCTGTGTTCTTTCCCCAGGTGCGAGTGGGGAAAGCTCTTATCGGCTGTCCGATCACGGAGTGTAGTGGCAACCTGGAGGAAGGACTGGTGATTTCCCATTTGACCAAAGAGGAGGTGGCAAAATATCGTTACTTCTTGGAGCTGAGTCAGCTGGATTCGAGCACAAAGCCCTGCCCCCAGTGCAGTCAGTTCACTTCTCTCAAGACGCACAACCCCAACCGCTCCGAGCACAAGTATAAAGTAAGTTGACATGCCGGCGTTGACAGTTGCCATAATGTTGTACATAAAAAGGGATGCTCGCAGCGAGTCGCAGTGAGCTGTGTGATTAAAAAGAAGTGCCTCGTGCCGCTGGTGTGTGCAACAAAAGCAGAGCTGGGGTAAAAGTAATTGCTTTGGTTAACTGCGAGTGGATCAAATCAGATCCCAAGCCTTTATTCACGTCAAGAGCAACAAAGACCAGGGTCCCCTGTTGATGTATGATTTTATTTGTTCAACCGAAACCACATCCATAGTTCACATCTGCACAGAGATATTTGCTGCTTATCGTTTCCCATCTCTCTTCCCCCATTCCCTGTCATCTCCCTACTGGCAAACTCTTATATTTAGGAATAAAATGCCTCACAATCCTGGGGAAAAAACAGGCAAATTCAAAAACCTAAAGGTCTTAAATAATACTTTTGTGTGATTTGTGTTTATTTGCGTATTATAATGTCAGATGCTCTTATGAAATTGGGCAGAGTTTTAAAATAATAAGGTAATCAGTGTGAAGTAACACCTAAGCCTTGGTTTCCAGCCTGTGCCTATCTGACATCAGCTCAGCA